AAAAGACACCCAAAGGACAAACAGATCTCTCAAGGCAATTTCAGAGATAGCTATAATTACAGTAGTATAAAATATATGAAGGGAATACATAAATGGTGAATATTATTTCTCAAAAATCTCTATCTGAGCAACTGTCACAGTGCTTTCGGTTGTCATAGTGGCAAATGTTTTCTCAAATTACCAATGCTGTTTGGTTTGCCTTTATCAGTCATCAGTCCATCAGCTGGTCCATTCATAACGACTTCTGGCAGCTCATCAGGGGAGTTCAGAGCCATTGAATACCATTCTATCAGCCTTCACACCTCATTGTGTGAAACTGTTTACCATGTTGACTTTTTCTGTAAATTGTACAAACAGTGCGGTAAAGGGATAGATTCATGGAAATGAAACAGTATAACCTTGTAACAGTCAGTTGAGATTGGAAGTCTGTGTTGACTGATAATTCTCAGGCATTTTTGTTCTCGTTGGTCACTGAACAACATGGAAATGTTATACTTTGAAGTCTTGTATACGTTAGTTAATTAGACAACATTTAATTTAGCCTAACATTTGTGTCAGATTTTTGAAGGCAATCCTCCATAATTAGGGTATGTGGATCATCTCTGTGACAGCATACAAACCTTTCACTCTTGCTTTATGCCAGCTTCTTTCAATGCATTGTCACATTTAGTGCATCTGGGTTTTACAGCCTCTACGCTTGAATTATAACACAGTTGCCCTTTGGTACTCTCCTGACAGTAAATGAAATCGTTCACGCAAATATAAGGTCACAAATTTGGCAATATTTAATAAAAAATTGCCCATTACGACAGATTAGAATCTGATTGTTTTGCTGTGCCCTTGTTTTTTTTTGGCTTTCAGAGCAAATGTGTTTTATAGAGTGTATTTGATGTCTGAGATTGAATGTTTGCTGTTTAATACTCAGCCATGGACATGTACTTCTTTATGACAGTATTGAGAGAAAAACAGCACCTGATGGCCTGGTTGCACAGCGAATTGGGAACTTGACATCAGGTGGGGTGAAGTGGTAGTTTGAGGACTTCCCTTGTGAGACTCTGCCAGGCTCTCTCAGGGGCAAGTAGAAAATATTAGCGGGCGAGCCAATCTACAGTACTATCAGGCACCTCCTTGTGGCCAGTTAAGGAATGGTATAGCTGAAACTCAAACATTCACATGCCCTTTGTTTGTCCAAAATGGAATGATCAAACGAGGAGAATTTGAAAAAGTGAGCAAAGGTATTTTTCAACTGGGTGATCATGGGCGTACAAAATACAAATAAATTTGTATTTTGAAACAAAATCTACAAATAAATTGATTAGAATGATATTTCTCCAACTGTATTTACAGTTTTTCTCGGCAGTTATTGATTTACACCAGCTTATTTAGGTCTAAATTTGCAACTTTATGAAAGTAGCATTGAATTCTGTGTTTAGTGCAAAAAACTGACAGTAAAGCAGCATAAAACAGATCCCTGATGCACAGCTTGAAATCACTTTCATATCACTTGAACGTCAGTATAGTGCAAGTTAAACTGATGTTCAAGCTTCAAATTTCAAGTGCAGCACATCTGGCCATCTCTGACACAAAGATGTGCACATCAGGATTTGTATATTGCAATATTGTGATGCAGCTCAGGTGCAAATGAACTGAGTGCATCAACTGATACTGGTGTTCGTTTAGTGAATCCCTACTGTGATCTCGAGTGTAAGTGAGGGCAGCAGTAGACATTTGCACGGAAGTAAGGTGGATTACAGATGTTGGTTTGAGTTCAAGAAGATGATCGTAATAGCTTGTAACTGGTAGAAGAAGCAAGTGAATGAGTGTTTATTTTGAAGTGTGACAAAGTTATCATGAAAAGCAGTTATCAATTGAAGAAGAGTAGTGATTAATGCTCAAAACTATTCTCCACTTAAAAAATAATGATAGGAAAAGCTTTAAAAATAGCTAGATGCCCAATTAAACAATATATTAGTTTCATCACCAACGTTCCTCTGCCATCCACAAAATTATTTTAATCATATTAGCCAAAAAAATCATTAAAAATGTCTCTTGCAAAAGGCAACAAACCGACCAAGACCAGTGAGAGTTAGAATGATCTGTGAAGGAGAGACCAGGAGAAACATTGGTTAAATTGAAAGATGGATGACAGCCACTGGAACAAGAGCAACCACACTGAAGCAACCATCATCCAGGATAAGCAGCCCCAGGAAGTCATCAGACAGGAGTCATGTGGTCAGCGTGGATGGTGTTGATCCTTTATAAAGTAATTTAGAATCAGACAGTCCACCAGGAAGAACAGAGATTAAGAGGCTAGAAAGAGACCTCAGCCTAGCCAGCAGTCAGCCATGAAGGTAAATATTTATTCGTGATCCCAGAAGGAAACCAAATACTATAACAGATTCAAATTATTTTATGGAATCTTAAAGGCCACATAGCAGCAAATAATGAAGATATATAAAGCGGAGATTTTAAAAAAAGTAAGATATATCAGTGAGACTTGGTCGGAGTTGGTCATTGTCTTGTATTTTTTACAAGTATTAAAAGGAAGATGTGTTCCATCTGGGAGACTAAGACTAACAGTTACATCACAAGGCTCCAAAGGCTCAAATGAACCACTGGAGAAAACTCACCTATTCTCTGCTAACTATTGAATATACGAACAAAAAGAGCTCTATCATCCAATTCTGTGCAGCATATCTGTCTAACTAGTAGCAATTTGTGTTTTTTCCATTTAAAAATCCCCCTTTGGGCAGGATCTCCAGATTTCAAAGAAAAGAATTGAAAATCTCTGAAGAAGATAACCAGTTTGAAAATGCACTGAAGGAAGATCGACTCCCAGTGTCAAATCAATGCACCAAATTCATTTGTGATTGTTGTTGACATTTGGTGAAATTTCTGAGACAGATGAAAGAGTATGTTAATTTCTATTTTTATTCTTCATGTGTCTGGATTGAAAAACGTGCACAGAAAATCCTACTTTCTGCCATATATTTTAAAGTCCTTCTTATTTGAATCAATAATGCTCATCAATAGATCACAAAGATAGTTTGAGAGAAAAAAAAATCTTCAATGAGAAAAGCAAAAAGAGCCCAAGAACATGCTTTAAAACTGAAGACGATCTTTGTCTTCAGGTTGCCAAAGCAAATGTAATGAGAAGATAAGACCTGCATGTGTACAGAAAATGTACTTAGTTTTCAAAAATATTAACCTGGAAAAATAATAATAATCCTTGCATTTGATATAGCTCCTTGTAACGTCTTTGAGATGTTGTAAAAAAACTGTCTGTCCAGTGCCTTGGGACGTCCTCTCGACGTGAAATGCGCTATATACATGTAATTTTGTTGTTGTTGTAAAGCGTTTCACAGAATATACTGTAAAGTGAATTGACTGTATATTTGTGGGCAAAACTTGGCAGCCAATTGCGCACAGCAGTGTCCCACAAACAGTCGTGGATTGAAGTGACCGATTTTATTATTGTTTTTTTTGAAGGATTATTTTTTTTGAAGAAAAATAAAGCAAATGCAAACCTAAAAAGGGTGGATTAATGTATACCTGTAATTGAAAGGGATATAATTTTTAAATAAGTGTTCAGAATGAGGTTTACACAAATGTCTGAAACAGGTGTATTTTTGCTTTACATTTCATCATCCTCATTGGATTCACTGTCACGCTTAGACAAATGTACCAAAAGTCTTTGAATACCGTAGTTGGAAAATGGCAGACTCTTGGGGCTATATTATTTACATGACGGTCTTTCCTTCCCAAGCAATTAGTACAACAAATCTCGTATGTATGCTCGATTCCTAAATACTGATGTGGCTCATTACATTGCTTTTTGCTTACAATATGTTGATTTTGGCACTGCATTTGTAATCCAGAGCTTCAGTTGGTAACCCCAGGCTGTGCCCAATACTTTCCAGAATGAGTTAAGCTGGGCTAAGTCCCTCCAGGGAGAGAATGTGTGCCCCATTCCAGATAAAGTGAAATTGCCATCATAGTTGGCAGACATATGTCAAACTCTCAGTCTGGTTTGGATACTCTTAGGCATGGCGATCATTTTGAAACTAACATTTTAAATAATATTATCAGTGCAGATGGATTTCTACCCAAATTATAAATTGTAAATTGGAACTTGTAAATCATAAAAAATAACTAATTTCCAGTAATTTGGGATTAATTCTAATTAAGCAATGCGTACAAACACATGTAGGTGTAAAATTCCATTTATTATAACATTCACTAAATGTAATAAATCAGTGGGTATGTTATCATGGAGTGAATGCCTACAGAGGTATGTGAAAGCTGTGTGAAAGACCATATGATGACAAATTGCATTGTCAGATATCAGTAAAAACTACTTTTTTAAAAATCTTATTCATCCATCTTATTCGTGGTGAGGCTCAGTGATGAATTCCAGGAGTGAATCACAACTGCATTTTGTTCTAAACATACCTAAAACTCATCGATAAAATATCATCCTCTCAGTTTTTAATGTATATTACATATCTATTTTAGGATTAAGAAATATATTTATTCAAAATAAAGTTAGTAATCCTCAAAGTCACAAGCAGACAGACACCATTATACTAAGTTTGAGATTTGTCTTTAGTTCTGGTGAATAGATTTATTTTTTATAGAATTGTACAGTAGTACCAGATATTTTCTGTAAAAGCATCATTGTCTTATTAAGGCTTCTTTAAATGACTTTGAATTGTGACTTGAACAGCCAAGAATATTAATGCAGTAATAAGAAAAAAAGTAAATCCAAAGGCAATACAGTGCTGCTTAACCACATCTAAATGAGATAGTAGCCCTCTTAGATTTGAGAAATTTAAAGCTAGATAAATGGACACTAACTTAGGTTGTTACAATGACAGCCAACACAGATTATTGAAGATTTATTACTGGAATGCAGAACTGAAAAGGATTATAATCTCTTGTTTAAAGCATGACTGTTTGTGTAGTTTTTTTTAATGTTTTTGTTTTCTCTTTTCAAATAGAGAACAAAGTATGTTGTCCTTAAACCAGCTAGCGATGGTGCATTTGGAGTTGAGGAAGAGACATTGTCAGCTTTTGTAGATGATTCAAAGAGATCTGTTGACACTGACTTCCCTGACGAAGCTCCAGCAAACCTGCTGGAATGGTGGGTTTTGGATCCATCAACTCGGGCAGGAACAGAGGAAGCTCTGCTTGAAGATGAAAAAGATGACAGAAGTAGCTGCATACCATTCGTTGTGATCACACAAGCAGATGAGGTATGTGATAGACAATACCTGATGTAAAATTCACTGTTATCTCTGGTGATTTGTATGCAAGACACTAGTTAACATACTGTTCAGATGTTATTTCTCCCACTATGCAGTTTTGTGAGCCTTTATTTTCAAATATCAATAGCATATTGTTAGAATGTATGATTTACATGTTATTTCTCAAAATTGTGCTTTTGATTTTATTATTTAAAAGATAATCAAGTAAACTTACTGTATAATATCTTATCTGACTTCTCTCCTAACCCCCCCCCCCAATCATATCAGCACACATGGTATTCTTGTACAGCACAATAAAAGAAGGTAATTATTTTCATGTACTGCATATTATGATACAATTACAGATTCTGTATGCTCTGCCAGACTGAGAGACCCATGTTAAGAGTGGTACTCAGATTCTATCGATGGGCGTTATGAAAATGCTTACTTTTTCCTCTGAAGACATTAATTTTCCTTTAGTAGATTCTAATGTACCACCTAATTACTTTCTAATATATAAACATTTCACATTGCGATGCTCAGACTTTTAAATCATGTTGGGCCCAGAATGAATTAAACCTCCAATAACCACTGTACCCTTCAGGATACCCTTAACAGCTTTCAGCAGTCTTATTTCTGCTGGGAGTTACTAGCAGCTGGTTGTGTCAACAGCCTGGGCAGAAAATCCATTAACTGAATAGCACACAACTGTATTTGGCAAAATCAGTACAAAACTATTTCAGTCAAAATATACTCATTCATTTATTTATTGGAGAAACTTTCTGTTCAGATCCATTGACTTCCAGCTCCTAGGGTATACTTGGAGGCAGATTATATTTTCAATGCATGCATTTTTACGACTTGAAATGGTAAAGATGGTTATAAACAAAATCTTTCTTTCACTGTAATTTGTGATTACTCCTGTCTTGCATTTTTCATTAATGGCTAATTAAAAGTCTTGTCAAATTTTAATTAAAGATTGTAAAATATTTTGTTTTGGGAAATGATGCACAGCACAGGGCAATTTGAAAGAACTTTTAAAATGTGGCCCACAAAATGAGTAGGTCAGAAAACCATTTTTAGAGTTCCAGATTTCTAACAACCAAAACATCTTTCATGTTTACATAAATTTGCTGTGCTTCTGTATAATTGAAAGTCGTATAATGCATGTCCTTTTTATTTTAGTTTCCAGTTGATATTTTATAGAATGCAAAATATCAGTTGTCCTCAACATGATAATGGCTTTCAGTTCATGGTGACTGTTTTAGTAGTAAAACACCCACCTTAGCTCAACTAACACAGGCCTGCTGCACGTTTCACACCCCCCATATCACCATCGATGGCTGAGCCTTCAGACATTACACCCGTAATTTGTGGAATTCCTTGTGTCAATCGCTCAACCTCGCCACTTCTTTAATCCATCTTCAAATCCCAGTTAAAACCTTTCTCTTTACCTATGGTCATTCAGAACTCTGCAGCTCGTGTACTGTCCCGGACCAGGCTTCGGGACCACATCACTCCCACCCTCGCTCGCCTCCACTGGCTCCCCATCCCCCAGAGGATCGATTTCAAGATCCTCATCCTCACCTACAAGGCCATTCACGGCCTTGCTCCCTCCTACCTCTCCAACCTACTATTCCCCTACCTACCTGCCCGTACCCTCCGTTTCTCTGGCTCCGGTCTGCTCCACATCCCCCGCCCAACCGCCCTACCATCGGTGGCCGGGCCTTCAGCCTCTCAGCCCCGAGGCTCTGGAACTCTATCCCCCAGTGCCTTCGCCGCTTCCTCCCTTTCCTCCTTCAACGCCGGTCTCAAGACCTTTCTCTTTGACCGTGCCTTCAGCTCCTCTCTCAAATCTCTACCCCCTCCTCGCTCCCTCCCTTCCCTCCCCTCACCATTTCCCCCCTGCTCGGGTCCTGACCTAACTGTACAGCGCCTTGGGACGTCCTCCCGACGTGAAAGGCGCTCAATAAATGGAATCTTGTTGTTGTTGTTGTATGGTCACCTCCCACTTCTCTTTCCCTGCTCAGAATCCAACCCCCCCACTGTGAAGTGCTCGGATGTGCTATGTGTAGTACATAAAGGGTACTACACAAATGCAAGTTGTTGCCGCTGTTGTTAACAAGAGTGGTTTGATTTATGTTGGCAGTGGTTGTAGGAAAATGGTATGCAAAACTATTGTAACATGCAATCCATGCTTGAGATAAGTGGTTTTTCGTAATTCCTTGAAAGAAACAGATGAAGTTATGCACCTTAGAAGCCTGTCAACACGGCCATTGAAATGCCTGGCATGCCCGATAGGGATGCAAGGGACTGGAGAAAGCACCGTGATTTCCAAATTGAAGTTGGCTTATAGTGGTACTCCTGAAAACAACAGACTGCACTGAGAATAAAGCAGGCCTACTTTCCATTGAGCAGGGAAGATACCACAGCAGTCAAATCTGCAGATTCTGGTAAGCTTTTTTTTAATAGAATGAGTTATACCATTTGCTATAAAAACATCAGGCGCACGTAATTCAGACCAACATAAAATAGCAGTAAATCATTGCACAGCAATTTTTATTTTAAAAAAATTGCAATATTCATCTTCCATTTCTATCTACATTCCAGAAATTAATTCACATTTAACCGCAGTCTTAAAAAAAGCAAAGTTCTGTTGTAAAGTTCAATGATGTGTTCATAAATCATGCATTTGCATTTATACAGGTGACTCATCTACATTCCTCTCCATGCCTCAAATGTTTGGAAGAAGTTATGATTATGAAAGATGAAGGTTGAATTTCACTGGCATTGGGTGTCCAATAATTGAGGAAAACCAAATGCAAGGAGGGCATTAACTGAGTTACAGAACTTACACAGAATTAATTTATTAAAAAGATGAGATTATTCTTCATTATACACTGAATGCAGAATAATATCCTTCATCAGTTTGGAAGAATCAGGAATTGGCCCCTTCAATTCCTACCTGGACAAGATAGGGAAAGCCCTTAGAGCTCAGTGAATGGAAATTGTACTTGATGATGTGCAGACAAGTTTACACCAGCTGCACAGTCTGCTGATATCCTTGTACTACATTATGCAAGTTGGCTGGACACAGTTAATTGAGCAGATTGGCTCGATTGTCAATCTGTTAATGAGACTGATCCTCTACCAGCCACTTTCATCAAGGCAGAGCTGCTCTAGACTTCCAATGACTAGCTTGTTTATTGGGGTTGTTGGTGCCAACATGTTCAAAGACTGTTTGGTAGTTGTGATTCTATCTTTCACAATTTATAAAATGAGATTTTTGAAAAAAAAAAATCCAACAATTCCACTGGGTGCTAAACTGCTCCAACTATTTTTGATTTACTGTAGTGCACAATAACTTTATATCAATTTATTGACCTGTTTAATTAAATAATATCAGCTCCAAAGATAGAAATGGGTAAAACTATTTTTAAGAACTGCTGGAAAATTCAGAAACAAAATAGGAGAATAAGGAACAGAAAGGAAGAGAAAAGAAGTGGCAGTCAGGGAAGCACAGGTAAAGGACTTGATTTATCTCATTTACAATGCTACATTGATCAGATGCTTTAATAGTTGCACCCAAATCCTCTTGATTTAAAAATCCTTTACCATATTTATTAATGGAGACCTATTAATTCTGCATATTTTAAACCCCACTTTTGAATATGCCTAACATTGTAAGTAATTAATAGAAAAAAGCCATCCAATTTATCTGGTTCATCCATTAATCGACTGTATAAGTGGTGGTTTGGTCATTATGCACTAATCCATTACAGTTGTATTTAATTCAATGTGTAAAATGCTGATTTGTGGTAAGCTTGCAAAAGTTGGGGTTCTGCCAAAGTAAACATTCCATTAAAAGTGTTAAATGTGTGATAATATTACCACAGGCAGAATGATTCCTGCTAAGATCTTTAATTGCAAGTTTAATCCAAAGACAGATCATATTGTCTAAGTAAATACACAAATACGTACAAAAGTTTTTTGCAAATAGAAATAAAAACAAAGCTTTGAATTTAAATAATTACTAAACAAGGTGTAAAGAAATATAAGTGGACAACAGGGAATGGCAGGTTAATATACATAAAAGTTAAAATAAAATTAGGGGAGAATTAGGAAGAGAGAATAAAGTAGTTTTAAAAAAACACAGAAAGGTATTACAAATTATTTTTAATATTGTTGGCTTAATATTGCAGAAATACAGCTCCCCTGATGTTTGAATAACTTTGCTCCCATTCAGCCCCTGCTATTAGTACGTTCCAGTTTTGCAATCAATGAGCTGAACCTTTAAGGGTCTAATGGAGAATCCAGCTTTTTATAGCACCTATATCATGTTGAAATGTCACGAAGCACATCACAGTAATTACTGTAAAAACAACCTCAGTAATTTTGCATGGAGCTTCCAAACTTATCAAATTTCTAACTGAAAATTGTCAAACATTGAACTGAGTCATGAGTTTTAATAAGCAACGCAATGTGGGCATAGGGGTTGCTGGCCCCACCTAAAACACTTAAAAGTTGCAATGAATGCTCCTTAAAATCTTTTTATGGTTCACATCAGGCACTGGGGGCATCCCACTGAGCTCATGTTAACCCTGCAAGCCAAAGCCCTAACGGGTAGGATGGCCTTAGCTGGACAAGCAGTGGGAAAGCTTGCCAGACAGTGATATCAATGGCAAGCTATGCGGCTTTAGCTGGTTAGACTCCAGCAGTACCCCAACGCACACTTGGGGTTTCCCAAGCTTTGGCTCTTGCCAACCTGCGCCTAATACTTTCCAGAATTAGGTAATCAGGATGCATCCCTCTAGGGAGAGAGTGTGCATTCCATTCCAACAATCTATCTCTGGGATTTCCATGTGTTGGTGGGCTGCATGGGAATCGCAGCTTGGTTTTGGATACTCTTAAGCATGCTGATAGATTTGCACACGTATCAGACACCCAGCTGACATCTACGTCCCCCCATCAAAAAAAAATCAGGCAGCCTCCAGGACATGGAGAACATA